TCATTCACAATATGATCTGATGCTCCCGAATCCAAGATAAATGATAATTTGTCTGTATACTTAACTTCATAATTTCCAGTCATGAAAGCAAAGCCGGATACATCATTAGTAGTTGTTGCCTGAGTTGTTTGAACTAGATGTAAATTACGATTTTTATCATTTTGTTCTGCTCTATACTGTAATTTCTTTTTATAATAATAGCACTCCTTTATTTTATGACCTTTCCTACCACATTGGTGGCATTTACCAGCAAATTTCTGCTTGTTTGATTTAAACATGGTTACTCTTCTTCTATTACCCCTATGATTACCTCTTCTGAACCGGGCACTCTCAAAATTGTTCGACCGGTAATTTTCAGCTTCAGCATGCAAAACTTTTGCGCTGGTATCTATCTTTTCACTCTTTATTCTGGTTTCATAATCAAACAGCCTCTTTTTAACAATGTCCAAGGTAATTTTGGCCTCGGTCATCATTGTCTCAATAACAGTTGATACAGTTTCATATGCTTCTGGTAAACTGGACAATAAAATTGAAATTATTTCATTTTTCCGTACTGCCACGCCCGCAGCTGACAATTCCGTTATTAAATCATCAAATATTTCAAAGTGATCTTTTAATGAAGTATCATTTTTCATTTTCAATCTTAATAATTTTTTTCGAATAGACAATTCAGTAGCCGTACTTTGACTTTCATATACACTATCTAAATTTAGTAAGTAAAATTAATTTTGCTGTACTTCCCTCTGTATCGTATTTTAAGTGTGTATCCGCCAAATATTGAACGATGGTGCATTTAGCAATTCGCTCTGCCTTCGACCATTCTTCGGTAAGCGGAAATGGTGGCTGCTCATCAACAACTTTCAAAACGTCCAGTTCGTATAACAGATTACGAATTCTATGTTTCCATGCGTTGTACTTAGAACCATTAAATTGTGGAATGTTCTTTTTATTTGATGCATCCATTATCAAAGTCTTTTAATATTCAAACGATTTAAAAATAAATACTAAACAATTAAACACAAAAGCAAACACAAAAACACTTAAAATTATACGTGAACTGGGCCCATAACCTAATGGAATATGGTTATGAGTATTAAACAAATAAAGAAATACTAAATAATTAAACAGAACATTTATAACTTTTTGAAACAAACTTTATATATTTAAATGAAGAAAACTAAGGAAGAACTACTTAAATAACTTGTTCTATTATATCCGTGCGAAATCAGAATTTTTATGAAGAGAAACAAACACGAAAGAGAATATCCGAATTATTTTATTTAACATTTGCGAATCAAAAATTTAAACGAGTGGCATCATATAAATAATCGATAATCTAACATACATAATTATCGACGTCTTATTACCGACATCAGTAAACGTTATCGACTTTTTATTAAATTTATTTTTGCCACTTTACTATGGAAATTCAACAAATGGAAAAACTATTTCTTACGAAGTATCAACTTTCTTTATATTTTTTAGTAATATGAAACTTTGTTTTACTTTTTCATATTGAAAAATTTCATAGAAATACTTATACAGATTGTCCCACATAACTTTTCATGCTTTTTTGAGTTGCAATAATCTGACAAAGAAATATTTTGAAGAAAATTTGGTCGTTTTTTTAAAGAAATTGTATTTCTTACAGAACAGTAACATAGCCTGTATCGAGATGAATTTAACAATATAGTATATCATGACCTTTGAAAAACTTTGAAGGTAAAGAAATGCAAATTTTAACGAAAAATGACAGTTTGAATGGGTGAAAATAAATTTTGATTATCATAAAAACTCAACATTGTTGACAGTCCGTAGGTTAATTCACAGATAACGTTCTAGTAGTACAACATTTATTGAGGGTTTTTAAATAAATATAATTTTGTATCTTAATAACAAACATAAGCTTTTATCACTCTTTCAAGCAGAATTAAATTTTTTGTTAAAATTTTCATTTTTTCGCTATCAAGGGCATCCAAAAGTCATGATATACGAAGTCGTTGTATTGGTCTCCATATACGAATCAGAAAAGATATGAAGTGCTATTAAAGGAAATGTACAAATATCTGTAGAATGTTATATACCGTACATTATTGATCAATTTTAAATCGTACGATATACGTATTACAAATATTTAAACGGAGTTTACAAATATTGTTGAAGTTACTAAATTCATCAAAATGT